TTTTACCTAGGTATTTGGTTAACTTGTTTGTTCCTAAACTAAACTAAATGTTTAAATATAATTATTTTAATTTTAGATAATATACTATTAAATCATATAAAAGGTTGATTTGCTTATAGAGACTTCCACAACAGTGCAATATTCCCTAGGTATTAAATCTGTATGTTTATAATGATTTTTAACAAGATAACATTTTTTATATATTTAAAACCATAACCTTAAATGTATGGATTTTAGTTGTGTACGTAAACGTATTTTAGGTAATCTCAATTCCCACAGCAATTCCAGTGTATTTATCGAGTAGTACTCGCTCTAGGCTACCCAATAGTTACACAATATATATTTGTTTTCGTTGTTGAACCACTTTTGATTATTTGAATAGGTTTATTATATCAGGTGCTATCTAAATTTAATACGTTTGTTTGTTTTTATGATCTGTACGTAGAATACATTAAATCTAATATACTGGTTAGTTTCTAAACGGCTGCATATATTCAAACGAGCTTCAGTACACGTTAGAAGGGTAATGCAAAGCACTTTTTGGTGGTATTTTGAAAATCAATCCCCCAACCCCTTATAGGCTGGGGGCGAATTAAAAGTTTTAAATCGCAACCCCTATCAAGTAGCACATAATTTTAAAGAGCTTTAAAAAGGAAATTAATGCCGCAAACTGACTTTGATATGACGAATTTTCAAAAAGATTATGGCAAGCTATGTTAGACGTTAATTTAACTGGAACTTTACATTCCACCACTTTTTTTTTCTTGGCTGTAACTTTTTAAATAACCTTCAGTGAATGACCAGGGTTACACACTTTTTAACATGATTTTAAATTTCACCACCCACCCCGAAATAGGAGTTGCTGGTTAAAAAAAATACCAAACCCGTATTTTTGGGGGTGGGTGATGAAATTCAAAATTATGTTAAAAAGTTGTATTTAATATAATAAATATAAAAGTAATAGTATGTTTGTTTATTATATCTTCTGTACTTGAACTTAATTTGTTTGTTCATGTAAATAGTATAGGATACGTAAATGTAATAGGATTGATAGGTTAGCATCATAGAGTTTTATAGTTAATTATTTGCAACCCTTCTCCTATATTATCTACGATATCTCTATGAAAAGTAATGTGAACTGAGACAGAAATACATTTTCAAATCACCTACACGGTAGAATATTACCTTGACATCTTATTGGCTTCTCTTAGATGGGACTTCGATAACAGTCATGTCACACTCCAAATGTATGTTCGATAATATTTAACGCTGCCATGCCTTCTGACATTTTACTGAGTTTATTATACAGCACTGACACTTTTGAGAGTAGAAAATAATCGCAGCAGTTTATAACTTTATAACTTTATTTAGGTGATTTAATTTTTCAAAATGTTGTCATTAAAAACGTTACTGAATTTTCATTTTTAGTTTGGCTTTTTTTATAAACGTTACACATGCAATGCAATATTTTCATCGTATTATAGTGATAAAAATAATTATTTAAATATCTAACGGGGTACGTAGTCATAAACCTACCCTGCATCACCATTTGATTGTATATAGTTTGTAAGTAAGAAAATATACTTAGTAAAAACACTTGCTAGATAGTTATGAAAAATCATTTTGTGAGTTTTTCCCATGCATATTCGTCTTAAATAAATGAAAATTTATTCATCTTGGGTAGAAGAATGACTGAAGTAAGTTTTCAATTAATGGATGGACCCTACTCCAGTATGGCCCTGCAATTAATATCCCTGGAAATGTTTTGCGGGTAAAATTCTCTTGGATCCGTGCCACGGCTCTGCGCACTCAAATGCGTTATGTGTCTACTCCAGTAAACACGGAGAGTTTAATTTTGTACTTTCGTTTCTGTAATTTAATATGTAAAGATTTGACAAAGTTGCCTGGAAAATTTTACAAGGAACATGTGTGTAGTTAATATTCGATAACTATTTGTCTAAGGGTCTATTTTTTTGGGGGCCAGGGGGCTGACCTACATATTCCTTTAAATTTTTCAAGGGTATGTTTGAAAATAGATGTTCCTGAAACTAAAATGCAAAAAATTGGAGTTCAGGGTATTACTTCTTTTTGTGTAAACTTAACTGCCCTCCTAAGTAAGAAAATTATTTAACTCCTTTGATTCATCAGCTATATAATGGTTTTTAGAGAAGTGATTTATCCAATAGTATAGTATAACTCGTCACTAGAACGTGAAGTGACTCTATTCGACCCGAGATCAGTACGTAAAATGAGCGAGGGTTGATAAGACACCTTTTGCTAGTGTGATAAACGATATTTTTCATTTTATTACACAATACTTTAAGCAAAATAAGCTACAAAACCAAAATAATTTTCATGTAAAGATAACCTTTTCAAACATTAGAATTATAATACAGCGTTTATGTGTATATATATACTGTATGTATATAAATGTATATATAGTATACATATAGTAAATATATAGTAAGAATTGCTTGAAGGACACGGTTTGGCTAATTGGCTCGGTTCCACAATAACTAAGTGACCCAGAACAAAACGCATCCGTCCTCATTAGTAATTGAGATGTCAAAAATAAAATTCTGTTCAAACTGCAGACAAAACTCGTGAGTGGTGATTTTTTGAAAAGTTCAACATGACACTCTTAAACCAATTTAGTAAACTTAATACACTACTATATTTATGTTCAAGTCACTAACCACCTAAGTGTGGGTTGCATCAAATTCTATCGATAAGATTTTGTTTTGGGATGACGGACGGAAGTTGAAGGTGAGTCAGCACGGTCAGCAAGCTACAGTTTTCTTAAAACTGTTTTCGCGTTCTATTTTGTATTGTGTTGTGGGGAAATCATAATTTTTTTTTTTAAATCCAATTTTGAAACTAGTTTGATTAATTTTGGACATTTGGCTAGTCATTTTTAAGTGGGTCGTGAAAAATTATTTTTTTTTCTATCTTTGTAGTTGTAGTAAATTTTCAACAAACAAAATCCCCTGGGTGCTTTGTTTGTGTTCCTGCTCTTTTATGCAGAAACCACAACAACAAATTTATTTGTCCAGCTCACTAACCCATTCGGTGTGTTTACTCTGTCCCCACTTTTAACACTGTATTAGAATTATTTATGCGATATTTTTCTGCATTTTTCCTATAACTTTTTTAAAAACTGTTTTCTAATTGGCCATCAGACATCAACAGTAAAGAGATATTTCAATCAAATACTGATTTACAGTTACCATATTGTATTCCATTGTTTTTGAAATAACATTCTTTTTATGTTTAATTTGGCTGCAAGTAATTTTTACAGTTTTAAAATAAGTGAAAATGTAATTTGTAAGGATAAGATGTTGTCGTAAGTTACTATTGTCACGTCAATGTGAGTAATCTTAAAATAAACTAATACAGTAAAAATGTAAAATAGGTACAGTTTAAGTCAAGTACCGTTGCTATAAATTTCAAGCGATATAAGTCAAGTCGTATCCATAAATTATGGACCTGACGTCCATTCACTATTCCCTTTAATTAATCCTTTATCGAAATTTTACTTAAATTTTGTTAACGTACCATATAAGTATTTGCAATAAAAAAAAAATACTATTTGAAAATGAAGGGGATTGCACTTGAAAACGGGTTGACTATAATCCATAAAACAAATGGACTTTCTAATTAACCTTTAAATAAGGGTACATCAGAGTTTCTTAAGCAACATTCGAGATTTATTCACCGTCAAATAGCACATGCAATATGTCGTGTTAAAATTTACAATCTTGTTAAAATTCTTTACATACAGTATCATTAAAATACTTAGAGAATTTTTAATCGGACATAAAATTTGAATTTAATGAATAGCAAGCAGCCAATTTAAATAAATCTGAACGTAAACTTATTTTTATAAGTTGATTGAATTGAGAAATAAATCGGTGATGCTGACATAAACACAGACTAAAACTCGCTGATAAGCCTCTCCTACACTTGACAATCTCATATCTGATTGTAACTGTGATTAATTTCGAAATTTTGTATTAATAACTTTACACAATCAAATATAATGACAACACATCACTAACGCATTGTGTTTTAAGTTAAGATTGTGGTCGCTTTTATTTAAATCTAAATTTAAAACCTCAACATAAGTTATTGTTGTACAAAATGTCCGAGATAATTCAAAGCACGCAGACTTGCCTTTGGTAGTTGAAGTTTTCAGAGCGAAAGACTAGAATTATAAAACAAGAATACTGTATATTTCTTACAAACGTTTTACTGTATCGTTAGATTCAAATCAAACTTTCTCCATAAATAAATGAAATCTTAAATTGTTTATCGTTCAAACTTTTAACGCAGACACAATCAATGTTTGCTAAAGTAATAAAAATCATGACACATTCGCAAACTAATTACCGCAATGGATTTCTCTTTCTGACACTCATTACTGAAATTTAATTAAAATAAATTTTGCCATATAAAATCTATGTAATCTACATACAAATATTTTACAAAATATCACTACCTTCAACGTTTTATGATTCTTTTATGCATTCTAATAGTTTTTGACAAATAAATCGATAAATCGACAGATAAATCGAATCCCGCTATTTTAATTAGCTCAAAATAACTACTGTACTTGTTTTTAAAACTATCAATTTTTATAACCTTGACTCTTAAATAGTTTTCAAGTTTATAGGCCTACCAAGCAAATTTTCCAAAAAAAAATGGAATTTCTCCTCAAATTAACGGAAACTTAGTAACTAATTCGAGACTAAAACAATCAAAATATTTTTTTAAAGCAATAAATGTCAAATATATACTTCTTAATGTCACTTATTGTACAAATTTATCTATATTTACAAAACTACACTAAACTATTATAATCGTTTTACTATTTTTAATACTATTTAAACTCATTTCAAACCACATCCAACAGCTCGATCACACTATTCACGTACACAGCACTCATCACATCCCATGGTGTATGGTATGGTTATGGTGTTTCTATGGTGTGGTTGGTATACCTGGTGGCGAAGCGCGTGGACCAATGTAGTATACAGATTCCACCATGACACTCGACTGACCAGATTTCCCGCCATCGCGCGCTTATATCCCGCCCGTTGCTAGGCAACCCCACGTGGCCAGCGTGATTCTACTATTCTACCCATCTACTTTAGTGATTACCAATTTGCTTGGATATCACGCAAAGTAATACTCGAAAGGGGTTTAATCTCATCAAGGGATGAATTAAAGATTGCCAATCTTTAAGTGGAGCTGCAAATTTTCTATGTCAAGTAAAATTAAAAATACCCCCCAGCAATGCAAACTTGCAAGACAAGCGAATTTTCATTTGTCAGATTAGACTTAACTGTAATGTTGGATTTATTCCCTTTTCAAATAACATTAGATTTAAAAAGTACGTAGGTTTGCTGCTACGGGTAAGGAATAATGTGTGTTTTTCAGTGAAATGACAATATATTAGTTAATAGTACTGTATACAATAAATAAATTGCCTAATTGAATCAAAAGATATCCATAAACAAGCAAACTGCAGCAGATTATTTATCCCCCAAAAAAATAACGTGTAAATTTATATTTAAAGTTTTTAGAATTTTCTCCATTCTTCTCCATACCCACATATATTTTGAGGGTCAAAGTGGACAGATTAATATTTTTACCAATAAACTTCCCATACAACACGACCGATCATAATGGTAAATGAATTCATTTTAATGAACATTGGTTTACACGTTTGAACATTTTATAAAAATCGAATGATTTTTCCTTGTGCTAACGTGCTAATGGACATCCACACCTAACGTATATATATAACGTATATATATATATATATGTAAATCTTACGGATGCTGTGATGTTGATGGCCTCTGGATGCATAAAAACGAAAAAGTAAATCAAATACGTGTACTTGTTTATTTATTTGTTCGAGCTACGAAACATACGTATTTTCTCGTGACATTTTTCCTATGCCAGTGGCATTTCAATTAAAGCCAACGTGAGCACAGAAAACATACTACTATTACCTGGCAGTATGTAGGTAATAGTTAATAGTAGTATGTTTTCTGTAACGTAGGATAAAACACTTTTAAGGGAAAGCGGTCCTTAACCATTGAAGGTTTGTAGGTGTGCCGGGAATTGAACCCGTCCCTCCCGCACCGAAGTCTATTGTATACTTTGGAGTATATTCAACTTAAACAATTTCATTGATTGAAAGTTGTATTGATGTAAATTTAACTCATATGTAAATAAATCTATTGCGTACAATTAACTGTATATTTATTTATATTTACTTTGTTTTAAACAGATTTATGGGAGTCAAAACAATGTCTATCCATTGTTTTACATACTATTTTTTTTTTTTATTCTCAGCTAAATATTGTACAGTTTTTTGGGCAGCGGTTGTCTACCAAACAAGATAATTTATCGTGCAAAAATACTTCTTGATCGATGATTTCCGTGTATTTTTTACGCAATCCCCATGTAATCACTTTATACATAATCAAACATTACTTAATCATATTTATATACGTTATGAGTAAATATTCCTGAACGTTCTACCTGGTACCTACACTATCACTCAATAAGGGGTGGTAATGCATCCTAGCGGAAAATCCTAGAACTATCTCCACATCATCCAATCGGAAAAGCGTAAGTAATAATGTAATATTGTTAATTTATACTGTAGTTTTTCACCTTTAATTGCACAATTAAGTATGTATGCATACACAATTTAGGATGTAATAGTTTTTTTTTTATAACTTTTAATTATTCAATCAATTAAGACATCAATAGATACTTGGGTGCGTATTTTAAGCCTAATATGAATGCAAAGTGAATGTAGAATGGAGTCAGATGAATTGTAGCGTTTTAAATTATTAAAATCAGATTTTTCTCGGGCAGGATAAAGGAAGGTTAGGTTTGGTGTTGATCCTTTCTTCTGTCCTTTCTCAGGATCGAACCGGCGACCTTCTGATTATAAACATTGTACCTCTTTATCATTAATCTCCGCGAAAGCGCTTTATCATTTGACAGTCACTTAGCAACGTCCAGTTTTACAAATCCTATCGTAGTTAAGAATTTTCAACAGTGAACCCTACAATTTACAATACTAAGACACCTTTAAAACATCTTGTAATATTTGGTTTTAATATTTAACGTTAGACTAATTAATTTACTTTTAGCCACATAAGTAACGCAAAATAAAATATATTTACACCTTCACGTAGCTCCATGTACACTTAGCTATACTCACTATACTAGCCAGATATGTATCGTAGTTACCAGTAAGGCCTACCATACACGTTCCGTCCCGGACTGAAGGCAGAGCCTTGAGACCGGAACTGCACAGTTTGGCCGGAGTCGTGACCTCCCCACACACGCTCAGTCCGGAACTGCACAGTTTGGCAGGAGTCGTCTTGCCTCCTCTTGGTCTAATAGGAAGTTAAGCTCCCTGAAGTACCACTTTTGTGAAGATTTTACTTTTTAACTCTTTTCTAAATGCACTCCGTAAGTTGTTTATTTTTTCACCACAGTGTCCTTTGTTCTTTTTGTGTCAGATTTGTTCAGAAATCTAATAATTCTTTATAAGCTGCTTCCCTCATGTACCTGTTGTGGCATTCTTTGCTTATTGAAGTAAAAAAATCACGTGCACATGCGATAAAGCTGAAAATGTGGTGGGAGGGGGGAAGCAGCACTGTCTTGGACTGCGGGATTCGCCATACACGTTCAAATCGGCCTCAAGGCTGGGCCTGGACGGATGTGATTCACATCCGGCCGTCCGGCCAACGATCTGCCTGAAGGAATCGACATACACGTTCAGTTTTTCCTTCAGTCCAGGACTGTACAGTCCGGGACTGAAGGAAAACCGGAACGTGTATGGTAGGCCTAACCAGTTACAACCGTTACAACCCAGTTTAATTGTTGCAAAGACAACAACAGTTTCCGCTCGCCGCTTATCTGTTCGCCTTGTGCGTCAATTATTAACGCGACAGTTAATCACTATTAAGACCGGTCCTTGGAAGTTTTGGGTCTGTCAAGTTGGTTAAGTTGTAGTTACCAACTCACTACCGAGGTCCAAATTTCAAATGTAATTGTTTAAATTGTTTAGGTTTTATTTACTCTATATTAAACGGTTAAACGGTTTGCCGTAAGCTCAATATGAATGTACAAGAGTTTTTGGGTTTCACGAGTTATTAAAGTTCGTAATGGATATTCGTCTTTCAAATATTCTTTACGGAATCAAAAATGTTCGATAACTACAGACAAGTTTATAAGTTATCTCTTATAAGTATATAAGTTTATCTCAGATAACTCAGATAACTACACAACGTAATTTCTATTTACCAAGATCTTAGACACAATGGAACTAAATGAGATCATATATTTTGTTCAGTGGTTTAAACAATGAAGAGCAGACAACAATGAACGTAATCTATCTTGAGTCACAAGAGTGTCTAATGTTCACTCATCACAATGTGTGAACAAGAAGGCATTAGAAATAAGGAAACGTATGGTTTTGGTGGCATGACAAAACAAGCATAGCACTCACGTAGACCCTATTCAAATTTAAACTTGTGTTCGATTACTTAATATTTTAAGTAGCCTTTGCCTCTATTTCGCAAAAATTAAATGTTATTCACTTACATTTTTGGTAGTCCTAACGGTGTAAAAGTTATTGAATTATCATGCTGTACATGTTTTGAACTTACCACGGTTCCATCACCAGCGTAGAGAATGGACTTTTGTTAAAATCACATTGTTCAGTGTGTGTCAAGTCCACAAACCCAGTTATATGATGACATAGTAATTTTATTACCACTATCGTGAATTGCGATTATCAGTTGAGATGGGGCTAAAAATGGGGGTTTTTTACTAAAAAAGTAGATGAGCTTAGAAACAAGTTAAACTCCTTGAGTAGCTGTTTTACTGCCTAAACCAGCTGTTTCTTTAGGTAAGGCATTTATCAAGTGATGATGGACAGATGGGTCTAGTTTAGAGCCATCTTGAGTGGTTATCGTTCTTGCCTAAGTAGGTTTCTAAATATTACTATAGTAGTAAAATTCGAGTGTCATTGTCAATATGATAACTCCTAATTGTAAAATAAACACACACAATGAAAGGTACTCACCCTCAGTATGCGGTAAGGACTGTCTGTCAGCAGGCAGACTTCACCCTCCACCCGGCCCAACCCCTGAGGCAGGAGAGGGACGACCGCCTTCTCGTCGACCATGATGTGCATCTCCGTGGAGTTGCCAGGGGACTTGCCTTGAGCGGTCCAGGCAGCCTTGCATTCGCACTGGAACAGGTTATCGCATTCAAGCTAAACGCCAGGAGCATTTTATTAAAAGCACAATGATCAAGTTGGGTCCAGTTTCTAACCAATAAGCTACTAGCCATTTTCAGGATTGACTCGGCAACCTGTTGATAACCAGACGAGTACTATGAATAACCACTCAGCCTATTCAGGGTGTTCAAAAAAGGTGGGGATATAATTTACGTATTGATACCTTGGGTCAAAATAAAGAGGAAATGAAGAATAATATTTTTTCTAAAATCACTTCATTAACCAGATATCCGCCATTTTGTATTTTTTTAATAAAATTTTTTATCTTTTTAACCAATCTTTATGAAAATTGATATGAATATTAAGGTTGAAGAGACCCATGATAGAAAAAAAATCATCTTGATTCAACTTAAAATTTCAAAATGGCGACCGTTTCAATTTTATTAAAAGATTTAGGAACACTTTTATTTAGCATTTTTAATTCCCTATCAAACGATACCAAGTTCAAAAAGATCGTGTAAGAAATAGCTGAAATATTACGATTTTTAGTTGTAAAATGGGGTAGAATAAGGCTAGTCAGGTTTGCCCCATTTTACAACTAAAAATCGTAATATTTCGGCTATTTATTATTAGATATTTTTGAGCTTAGTATCGTTTGATAAGAAATTTAAAATGATAAATATAAGTGTTTTGAAATATTTTCATAAAATCTGCCGTTTTTGAGTAATTTAAGTTTAAAAATTAAGCCATTTTGAAAT